TATTCTTTGCAGTCCTCTGGTCTGGCACTTTTTCTGGTCTGGCACATCTAGCACTCTTTCTGAGAGTCATTGAGGCTACTTGGGAGACCCAGATAAACCTCCAAGTGGCCTCAATGACTCAGAAAGAGAGCTAACAACCAGATGATTGCAAGGATTATAAATCCTTCCATTCCCCCAAGCGAAACATCTTCAAGGGGAAAAAAAATCCAGTTGCTTTTGAAAAAAAACATCTTTGCGACAGTCATCTGGGTGACTTCTTTAGTGAATAGCAACTCCTTCCGAAAATACTTCAAAAAGACAATTTGGCTTCTAATTTCCTCCCCCCCCCCCTTTTTTTTTTTTTTTTTTGTCCTTTAAAGCATCTAGCGCAGGGGTAGGCAACCTTGGCTCTTTTATGACTCCTGGACTTCAATTCCCAGAATTCCTGAGTCAGCTATGCTGACTCAGGAATTCTGGGAATTGAAGTCCAGGAGTCATAAAAGAGCCAAGGTTGCCTACCCCTGATCTAGGGATTGTTTTTGAAATTAGATGGGGGTGCTCAACTTACAACCATTTGTTTAATGACTGCTCAAAGTTACAATAGTGCTTCAAAAAGTGACTCACAACCGTTGAAGGATCCTTGCGGTCCTGTGATCATCGCCCTTTGCAACTTTCCCAGACAGCTTCCGACAAGCAACGTCTGTGGGAAAGCTGGAAGGGGAGGTCGTAAATCACCGTCATACGATGTCTCTCTTAAAGGATGAATTTTCCAGTTCCAAGGATGGACATAAGTCGAGGACTGCCTGTACTGTAAAACTGTGTAGAGGGACAACGAGCAGTCTCTGACATCCCTTTCCTTGGGATGGTAGATTTTGCCTTCGGTCGGACTCCTTGGGGGGGGGGGGCAGAGCGGAGACAAGAAGCAACTTCCAGGAAGGGCTTTTAATTTCTCAAAGTTGGAATGGATTATGCAGAGCTCCTTGAACGGAAAGGGCCACGGGGCTCAGTTAAAAATCCTGGGAGGGCCCTAAGAAACAGCTGGCGTGTAGATCAGCTGCTCTGTGGCCAGCAGAGCGTCTACAGGGCTGGAGCTGGCAGCTGTAGTGAGTCTCGGAGGCCCCTGGCAGTAAATCCTTCCAGAGTGTGGCTGTGAATGTCCTACTTCTTTAAAAGAAATGGGGGCTCCATGGTGTTTTAAACAGAAGTCCACCCAGAGCCTCTTAAAATGGGCTGTGCATGGTCCCCGAGTCATGTGGGGAGCCACCTAATCCTCCCTCCATAACGGGAAGTAGAGCCTGCTTGAGCCCCCAGCCGGCCTTCCGGTTTTCTCTTGAATGAAGCACAGAGAGTTGGAAGAAGGTTGGCATCAATATAGTGCCTGGCTCAATTCAGGGCACTGGGGAGGGGGTGCTGGTGGGGATGTCTCTCTCCCGTCTCTCTCCCTGTAGAAGGCTCGGGGCCCACCTTCCTGTCTCCGTCCCTGGGCGAGGGTCTTTTGCAGCCACTCCATAGATGCTCCCCACCCCACTTGTCTCCTCCTTTTATCCCCAGGGAAGCGAGAGGCCATGATGGAGCATCTTCTGTACCAGAAACACAGGTAAGGAACAGGACCTTCTCCTCCCGCTCCCCCATACACTTAGCAGCCAGGTATTGTTGTGGGCCTGTCAAGGTCAAAGGGTGGCCTCTTTCCTCCAACTGCTCTGGATTGTGAACTTGCTCGTCCCATTGCAGATCAAACCGTGACCCAGAGATAGAGGACCCTGGGGGTACTCAATGCCACAGAGCTGCAGAAGACAAGAAGACCTCCACCTTAGCCATTCTGAGCACAGGTGCTTCTGTGTCAGATTGCTGGGTGAGAGTTTAAATACTGTACTAGCAGTGGGAGTCCTCCTCCACTGTATCTTCAGGGACTTTCCCAAGCCTAGGTGGAGTCAAGGCCACCTTGCTTCAGAACAACAGAGTTGGAAGGGACCTTGGAGGTCTTGTAGTCCAACCTCCTGCTCAAGCAGGAAACCCTATACCATTTCAGACAAATGGCTGTCCAGTCTCTTCTTAAAAACCTCCAGTGATGGAGCATCCACAACTTCTGGAGGCAAGTTGTTCCACTGGTTAATTGTTCTGTTAGGAAATTTCTCTGTAGTTCTAGGTTGCTTCTCTCTTTGCTTAGTTTCCACCCGTTGCTTCTTGTCTTGCTTTGGCGAACAGGTGGACCTTGTCTTCTTTGTGACAGTCCCTTAGATATTGTAAGGCTGCTATCATGTCCACCCCAGTCCTTCTTTTCATTAAGCTAGACATACCCAGTTCTTGCAATTTGTTCTTCATCTTCAGCTGCCTTCTTTAGTTTTCTGGAGTGATCATAGCTGGCATCCTTGAGCCTGCTTAACAGCACCTTCCAAAGGGGAAGCCTAGGAGTGAGTGGTCGAGGGCCAGCCTGAGGTGGTTGGTGCAAGGATTGAAACTAGAGGTTGGAACTACACGGGCATTTCTTCCCTTGGAGAAGGGAAGAGCCGAGGTCCTCCAAGGGCCTTTTGCCTGGTAGCCGAGCAGCAGCAGCAGCAACAACCGTGAAAGGCCACTGCCTCCTGTTTTGCCCAAGGACTAGTGGGAGGCCACGTTGCCTGACTTTGGAAGATGAAAGAGGGATGAAGGGCAACCAGGGAGAGAGGACTAGTGTGGGATGTGGGACACGGGAGAGCCAAAGTCAACGGGGCAGAGAGCAGCAGCAGCACAGGGGGACCGGGGTGGAGAGAACCGTCTCCAAGGCAAGCAGCAGGAGGAGGACTGAGCATTTCCACAGAACTGCTGGGGAAAGGGAGGAGGGCTGTTCCCAACACACACACACACACACACACACACACACACCCTCTCCCCTCCCACTCGATTAGGGCTTCCTTGAGTTGAAACAACCTCAGCAGGCCCATGGCTGCAGAAGTCCACTGTAGCTGGCACACGTGCAAGAACACTCCCGGGGGCCCTCCTGCAGCTGCGGGAAGGCATCTGACGAGAGCAGGTTGGAAGGTGGAGCTGTGCAAAGGAATTCTCTCCCCCCCCCCCCAATTGCACAAGAAGTACTGGAGCCCCCGCTGTGGCTTTCCCTGCTGAAAACAACTGATCCACGTGCAGGGCCCTCTTATCCACCAGTGACAGAGGGGGGACCTTGGGCCCAGCAGAAGCTTCCTTCAGTGCTACTGCTGCTGCTGCTGCTGCTGTTCCCTGGACTTTCCTTGTTGCCCTTCTCCCCCAACCGGCAGGCAGGGTGGACACCATGGCACAAACCAGCGAGGGCTGTGCCAGCCCTTTGCACAACCTTTCTCTGTGCCCGTGGGGAGATCCCGCCCCTCGGCTGTGGTGATTGGACAACAAAGGAGGCAGCCAAGTTAGAACTTGGACATACAGCCCCATAAATATTTGCAGTGTTGCTCCCAATCTTTTACCCGGCAGGAGTGGCAGTCTTTGAGATTAGCACACAGAGGTCCTGCAAGAAACGCTCCGGCGGTGCCAAAACCCATTTTGTTTGGGAAACCATTGAAATAACCATGCAGGGTCCTCTCTTTTATTCATAAAACACTCGGGACAAGTTGGAAAACGAAGCCTCGCCCTTCTGCTCTCTGCCTAGAAATTGAATGTATAAAATCTCTCCAGGATGAGGTTTCAATGGGGCTGGGGGCTGCACTGTCCCTACTCCAGCCTCCCTCCCTCCAAGTGCTGGTGACAACAAAAAAAATGATTTCCTGGGTTCAGTGCTGTGGACGGTGCTGGAGGTCCCACACAGGGCTTGACGAAGGA